TTCTCCTTCCTCCGATCACTTCCCCATCACTTATTTATCCGATCCTAACTTCTAGGATGTAGAGCACCCACCCCATTCATCCATCTCATTTCTTCAGCCCCTGTTTCCGGCTACTGCACTTCTCGCCTGGAGAAAAAAGTATTTCCCCTCGTGGTGCCAGAGGAGGAGGAGGAGGAGGAAAAGGAAAAAAAAAAGGAAAAAAAGAACGTCAAATTTCAATGCTGGTCCCACGCCCACACCCCGCCTCACCTCACCCATTGAAACATTGAGAGAGAAAGAAAAGAAAGAAAGAAGGAAGTACAAGTAAAAGAGTGAGAGTTCTCACCCATCCGACCGACAAGCCGTTTCCCGCCTCGTTACAAGCGGTACTGTGCGTAATTCAATCTCACACACGGCCCGTCCATACTCGAGTACACTGCTGAATATCACATGGTTGAGGACGCTGGACGGTAGTGTACGGGTAAGTTAAGGCACAGTACGAGTACTCGTACGGTATCATATGGTCACTCACCCTATATACAGGTAGAGGAAATCCGCATACTAGTACCCATCCCATCTGCCGTACCGTAGCACACAAAATGGAAGGGGGGAAAAAACCACAACTTAGTTTTTGGTGATTACATATGTATCATACTTGTAGCGGTACTCGAGTACCGTACGGTACCGGTACGGTGCACACATACAAAAAAAAAGCGCTAATCAGCCAGCCCCGGCTGCCCGTAAGGCGAGGAGAGAAGAATGGGGGGGAAAAGGTAAGGGAATTGGGGGGATTGCCCTTGGAACGGTCGAACCCGATTATTTTCGGGTCTCCATATTTCTTTTTATGATTATCTCGGGCTTCTGTTTATCATCGGTTTCTTTCCTTCCTTCCTTCCTTTCTTTCTTTCTTTCTTTCTTTTCCTTCTTCCTCGCCTCCGGTTTCTCGTGTGCGCGCGGAGAGGAGGGGGAGATGGTCTCCAAAATTGATGCCGATTAAGCTAGCTTAGCTTATTTCTTTACTCTTTTCCCTTCCCTCCCCCACACGTGTGCTTGAGGACGAGTGCCGGTACTTGTACCATTCACCTGGGAGCGAGCGACCCGCCCGCAACTGGGGAGCAAGTTTGCACGGTGCTCGTACGGTACTTGGGCGAGAAAAGTGCGGATATGGTACGGATTGTACAAGTATTATGATATGAGGCATTTCTCCGGGACCGCATGGAAGGCTTCGAGAAGGGGAGATGAGGCGTGGGAGATGACTGAGGGTGTTGACCGATCTGTTTTAGATAGACGGTGGGGAAGGTGGAGGGGGGTAAAAGTTTGAGTGGGGGAAGAAGGG